TAAGAAAGGACTTTAAACATTTAAGATGAGTATCAATTAGAAGCAACTTAAACTGAACAATAAATATACCTGAATCTGCAAACCTTTCTTCATTGAATTTGACTGATTACAATGATGAATGAATTACAAACTCTTGATTGAAATGGAAACTAAAGTATTGAATGCTGAAAGATAACTAAGTACTAAATTGATAGTGCTAAGCTGAACTTGCTGAAATAAAAGCTAAGTAATAAACTGAACTTGATAAAATAAAAGCTAAGTGCTAAGTGATATGAATGCTAAAGGTTGAACTTCAAAAATGGTCTTGGACCCCTTCCTTGTGAAGCTTGAGTGGGTATTTATAGAGGTTTCCACCTGGTGTTGTCCCTCTCAACCGTTTCTCTAGAAATTGATTGGTTGTAAACTGAAAGTGACCCTTCCTAACCACCTTGCTGAGCTGGTTAGGTTGACTGACTTGCACATCCTTCTATAGGCAAATTAAAGTATGTCTGACATAGTATTTTTAACTAAGTGGTGCCTTGTCTTTCATGCTTAATGATTTTGGTCTTCAAGCCATTTTCAGCTCTCTGCACCTGTCATGTCTGGCTTGATTTGTACATTAGCCTGGAGGCATCTGATTACTGACAATTCTGACTATCCTCGTCAGATGTAGGTGAGAACCTTCCAATTGTAGTTCTGAACTTCTGATATTGTCAAGTTGTCCTTTTCTATTTCAAGCTCTTTTCACGTTTCCAGACCTGACTTGTTGGGTTTTTAAATCATTGGGATTCCAGCCGATCTTCATTTGAATTACCCCAAAGATTCTTCAAGTGATTATGACCCGAGACCCCTAATCATAACCATATTTGGTCATGAGTCTTGATTATGGCCATAGTGACTAAAAATCTTGGTTAAGATTCATGATCATGACCATTATGACCGAGAGTCTTATAATCATTGTGACCGAGAGAAATAATGGTCTAGACTCTTGATCATGGCTGGTTATGAGTCTTTGGAAATATTTTGGATCGTGACCATTATAACTGAGAGTCTCATGACCATGACCGTTGTGACTGAGAAAGTTGTGACTGAGAGTATTTTGGCCTAAACTCATGACCATGAGACTGAGATTCTCATAACCATAGTGACAGATAGGATTTTGACTGAAAACTCATGATTATGACCATTGAGACTGAAAGTCATAACCATAGTGACTGAGAAGGTTTTGGCCTAAACTCATGACCATGAGACTGAGACTCTCATAATCATAGTGACAGATAGGATTTTGACTGAAAACTCATGATCATGACTATTGAGACTGAAAGTCATAACCATAGTGACTGAGAAGGTTTTGACCTAAACTCATGACCATGAGACTGAGACTCTCATGATCATAGTGACTAAGAAGATTTTGGCCTAAAACTCATGATCTTGAAGACTGAGAGGATTTTCGCCTAAGTTCATGACCATAGTGACTGAGAAGATTTTGGCTTAAAACTCATGACCATGAGACCGAGAGTCTCAATTATGGCCGGTTATGAGCTCAAAACCTCATCTCAGTCTTAATGGCTTAAAAATTCCACTCTTCTTAATTCTCAATCTTAAATCTGATCACCATGATTAGAAATTAATCTTCCGCCCCGATGATCATGGGTTGACCCAAAATTTGGACCTTGTAATTTCTGACCACGTGGCATGATTGCCTCAAATTATATTTTAGGTGTTAACACTTTTGATCTAGTTTCTAAGTGTTCATGTCCTAAATTGTCTGGTACTAGATTGATTATTCATTGGGTTTAACCGAAGAATCAAAACCAAGATTGATTATTAATTGGATTATAAAATCAATATCAGAAGACATACAATAAATACAGGTTATGAAGTTACCTTTTACAATACGATATGCCCCGAGTCGCCGTCGGAACTCATTGAAGTACCACCTCCGCCACGGCCACCTCCACCGCCACCGCTGCCGCCAGAATTAGACGGCCACCATATTTTGACTACTCCATAGCCAAACTCGCGGTCATGAATCTGAGTTTCGTAAATCAAATAAAGTCGAGTTTCAGATTTTGTAGAACACAGTATGGGTTTGTTTCAGGGTTTAAGTGTCACAGAATTTACACGTGTCATTTAACAAGGTTTCTTTACTTTCCCATTTGTTTTGGTCCATGTCACGCTATGGTGAAAGTCAAAGTTTAGTCAAACCACATCAGGTCTTAAAAAAAGCCAAATCAAATACAAGGTCCATAGAAGTTTAGACAAACCATAGCGAATGAAGCATGTCCACAAAATCGAACCAAAGCTTTATGAATTATGTCAAATTTCTAGAACCAACCCATCTCAAGCACTCAAAAATGAGGCGTAATATTATAGACATATTAAGTCCATTAAACAATTATATATTTCCAAAACAACTTTAATCCTTGTTTTGGTTTTCGTCATTATTGGATTTAGAGAGACTTAGCACTTGAGGAAGATGAGGACGACTAGGGACAATGAGCAATATAAAATGCTTATTTTTTTTAGCTTGATGTCTTGCTGCGCTGTTTTATGTTCAACAGTTCAATGCATTACTAAAAAGTAGAATTCTAGTTACAAACGTACACGTACTGTGATCGGAGTCGCAAGAACCTTCGGCGTTCAGTAGTGACGATGGTGGGAAATCACGGGCAGACAACATGCGGTGGCCAATTAGGATATTTTGATTCGAGAATTAAGGGCAGACAAAGGTAGTGGTGAATTAGGAAATTTTGATTCAGGAGTTTTAATTTGATGTCCGTCTAAGGATAGAAGTTTTTAGCACTTATAGAGGAGATGTCTCCTACACGAGTTTTGAAAAGTGCAAGTATAGATAATATAAAAAAGCTAACAATATTTACACAATATTGACATAATCTTGACAAATATACCATGACAAATATACCATGACATATTGACATAACGTGAGTGAAGATGTGAGACTTGTCATAATACGAAAGAATTTAGATTCTCTAAATTCAATTTTTTTTTAACTTATTCTAAGTTAAATTCTCGATAGATTAACATGTGATATTTAGAATATAATATAGTTACTACTTATTTAAAACAACGCCAATTAATTTAAAAAAAATTTAAAAACTGAACTGTTTTGAAATAAAAAAAATTCAACACACTCATCTTTTACTAAATAGATGGCTCACTCTCTCTCCTCTTAGAGCATCTCCAGCCGTTGTGTATATTTTATTATTATTATTATTATTTTTTTTTTTTTGTATAAATCTGATGTGTCATGATGAATTTACACAAAAATTTTGAATTATTTAATTTTATCTCCAACGGTTGTTTTATACCGTTTGTGTAAAAATATATCTCCTTATAACAATCAACCATGTATCATGTCAGAACCCACATAACTTTTACAAACTTACTTAATATATGGTTAATTCTTTAATAAAATGATAAAGGGGATGAAAAAGAAAATATGTTGATTTGACCGTATAAAATGGTTGTGTAAAATACACAACCCTTTTACACATTGATGATGTGGCAATGTATCTTAACATACTGTTAGAGATGGAAAAAAAATTATACATCATAGGTGGCAGTGTATATTTTACACAAAAGGATATTTTAGCATACCGCTGGAGATGCTCTTACTCATTTCCACGATTGCGAGAATATTTCATTTCAAAAACGAATGTTCTTTTCCACAATTTTTGGCACGCCTGGAAGCTCTAGTTCACTCTCTTTTTCTGAAATCTAAATTTTAAAATTTATCAATTTTTTCACTCTCTTTTCTGAAATTTATATTGCAAAATTGCTCATTTTTTTAAAAAAAAATTTAAACTACAAAATCGCTCTGGTTCACTCTCTTTTTCTGAAATCTAAATTGTAAAATTCCTCTTTTTTTTTTCTTTTTTTTTTTTTAAATCTAAATTACAAAATTTCTCACTTTTTTAAAATTTAAAATCCAAAATCCATTACAAAGGTTTTTAATTTGCACATTCATTTTTGGCACTAAATATTTTCCCAATCGTGGGAATAAGCAAGAGGAGAGAGAGGGAGCGATCTTTTTAGGAAAAGATGAGGGAGAGAGAACGACGTTAATATCGTTAAAATATGGTGAATTTTCCTTCTTTGAAAAGGATGCAGTTTTCAAACTTCGGTAAATTTTTCTTATTTCAAAACAGTGCATTTTTCAAACTTTGATAAATTTTTATTATCTCAAAATAGTGCAGTTTTAAAACTTTTTAAAAATTAATTAATATGGTTTAACACAAGTAGTAGATAAATTTTAAATGTCACGTATCAATTTATAAAAGAAATTCAACTTAGAATATTTTAGAAAAGATTTAATTTAAAGAACCAAGTCCAATATGAAAACATTCAAAAGTCGAAAATTGAATCACAACTCTCTTTATGCATAGAAAATAAGAATTTTTAAAGAGACCTTCAAATACTGTGTTGGTTGTGGGAGGCGTTGGTTATGTTTGTGAGAAGAGGAGGTGGTGGGGTAGTAATGTTATAATAATAAATCATATATTTGTGTAGTATGCATGTTTAATTGTAATAATACATACTACCTCTAGGTTAAGCGTCTACTACTAGGGGGAGCATTTTTGGTATTTAAAATTTTTTATTTGTTGACAGAGTGAGGCAAAACACCACCAAGGTTGACTTCTATTTTTCCCTGTTTTTTTCGCTAACTTTCGTCTGACGTTAATAATTTAAAAATACAAGAGGATGGTTAAAAATTAAGATAATTTATCCCAAAAATTAAGATTTAAACTGCATTTTAATATTTTGATTTAAAAAATGTTGTTTTTCGAAAAAAAAAAAAAAAAAAAAATCTTAAACAAGTCAAAAGTCCAATGACACCAATTTCAAATTAAATGTCAAAACCAGTGACCAACTCACGCATTAATTTCCGTATCTAATCCGTTGTCCTAAAAAAAATAAGCATATAAAGAAATACACACGTCAACAAATCATTGGCTGCTACTTAGTGCCACATAAATGCCGCGTAATCACACTACCCAACTGCATGCGTTATTCGTGTCTTCCCAAACGCTTCTCTCCCCCTCCACTTTGCGCCCAAAAACCCAACTTCAGACGTTCCCCCACTCTCTCTCTCTCTACATCTACCGATTACTTTCTCTCTCTAAACCGATTGATCGGAGAACTGATGGGAAGGAGAAGGGGCGCACCGGTTAACCAGCTGTTCGCATGGGTTCGGAGGCAGTCGATGAAGGTGAAGACCTTCTTGGCTGTCACGACCGTGCTCTGTTCACTGGTGGCTCTGAAGCTTCTGATCGAAGATCAGAACCACTTCTTCGTTGCCTCTGAAGCTATTCACGCTGCTGGGATCATGGTCTTGATCTACAAGCTCACCACTCAAAAGACATGTTCTGGTATCTACTATACATATCTTGTCCTTGATTCTTTTGCGCAGGTCTTATAGTTTTGCTAATGGTGATTTTGAATTGTGAATTTGGGTGTTTTTATCAGAAATTAAAAGGACTTGTGAGTTATTTGAGCACATTCTTGTTCTTCTTATATATATTAATTGGAGTTCTATATAGTTTATAATTGTTAATTTGATAATTTTGATCATGAAGGTTTTTTTTTTTAAAATGTAGATTACCAATTTTAGGGTTTATGATAGTGAGGATGGATAAATAGATAAGTCAATTTACTAAATTCTATATATTGTCAAATTATAGATGCTTGTCTAATAGGGCAAATGATTTTGCACATGGGATAAATTCATAATACCTTTATGAGGTTTCTGGCATGGGTACCTTAACGTGACCCAGGGGCGGAGCCAGAAAATATTCATTTGGAGGGGGCCAAAATTTTAAAAAATAAAATAATTATAATGATTTTTTTTAATGCATATCTATAAATGATCTGAGAAGAAAAAATGGAAAGAGGAATAGTTGAAAGCCAATAATTGCAGTTGCCAAGTGTCAAACATTCTTTTTCTTTTCTCTTTAATTCATAACAACTTATATATATATATATATATATATATATATATATAAGTTGTTATGAATTAAAGAGAAATATATATGTATGAATAGAGTTCTAATATATATGTGGTAGCTAGTAAAGATTACAATAATAATTAAAATATATATTTTATTAAATTTAAATTTTAAAAAACAAGATTCAAACCACATTTAATAAGGATAGATATGTACCATAAAAATGATATTTTTTTTTAAACAAAAAATAAATAAATAAAAATTGGGGGGTCCAACATTAATTTTCCTACATAAAATTATCATTAATAGCCATAAATACATGGCATTAATAGAGGTTGGAGAAACATTTGTAGGGGCAATGGCCCCCAACCCCCACCCTCCTCTCCTGACCAGATCCGTTTCGTCTATCATGAACACGTCATGTTTACTCGACATGTTTAGTTAAATGGGAATATAACTAGTTTAATTATGACCCGAACATGATTAAGCCAAACCCAAGTCCACTTATCATGTGTAATTTAACTCGTGTTTGAGTCGTGTTAGCTTGTCGTGTCAATACCCTGCATATGCCTCTACAAGGTTCCAGACAAATAAAGAATTGCCTATTATTAAAACTAGGTTAACCTTTCCTTGATTTGTTAGTATTATAGCATACCTTTTTTCCATCATTTTACCATTAAATCTAGAGCCATCATTAATATATTAGTAATAGGGTATATTATACATAACCCCCTTGTACTAATTTTTTCGTTCAAAATGCCCCCACTAAAATTAAACACCCCCCTGAACTAACAACACCCATCAAGTTGCCCCGAAATGACAAAACTGCCCTTCTAAGTTAATTCTAAATTTAAAACTTATAATATTATTGTAAGATTACAAAAATACCCTTGAGTTGGTGGGTCTATTGTTCATTTCCATCTTCCTTTGATTTTAAGCACCAGAAACCCATATTCATCTCCATCTTCCTTTTATTTAGATTTAGAGCATTCTGATTATAATTGTTGTTTGATTTGTTTGTGTTGACTTGTTTGGTTGAAAAGAAAAATTGAACACGGGGGAAATTTGTGTGAAAATACAGCATTGTGGGTAGTTTCATTCGCAGAAAATTAGAGAGATTCTACAAACACATATATATACACTGGACTTGGTGTGTGAATTTACATTCTTGCATATGTATGGGAAGAATTCTCCTTCGACACACTTAAACTCATCCGCACCGAATTCTCGTCAATCGGGCACTACTCCTTGACCTCATCGGCGATTAGAGCCATATCCAGCTCTCTCGCCGACCAAACATCCATTGCCATTGTCGACGACGACGTAATTCTGATCGACTAGATCTCGCCGTTCACTCTCAACTGTTGCGACGATCGTAGCGGCCATCACGACTCTCTCGGCCGGGGACCAGATGGCTTAACAACTCTCTCTCGGTCAATCTTTGCCGGACGGTGTCGGAAGAGACCACAAGGACATACAGAGACTCATCTTCGAGTCCGCTAGTGCACATGAATTCCGAGTCGGAGACTTCGCAAGCGTCGAATTAGTGGCTCTCGAGGTCAATTCTTCAGCGAAGCGTCAGCGATGTTTGCGACAGCGTTCAGGGCGTTCAGGTTTCCAATGATTCGATGATCGCCGTGGGGCTTACCTTGTTTCTTTCTTTTCTGGACCAATATGACATCGTCCTCTATCGACGAACCCATTTTAGAAACGCCGGTGATAAGAATTGCCAGAATTTCAACCGGAATCGGTGAGTCTGGGTGTCCTTCGGCGGCGAATATTCAGGCGAAGACAAAGTCCGATCAATTTGGGGTGTTTCTAGCTACTTACAAGAGGAGCAAACAGAGGGAAAATGTTGCCGGAGTCGCACAAGGAGGTCCAAATCAAAATTTTTACTTGACTGGGTTGGTGATTGTGGCAACACCGCCGCAGAAGGAAGTGTTCACAACAATACTTTGGTTCTTCCTCGAGCTTCTGTTGCAACTCATCGGAGTCGGTGTCGACGGAGAGCACGATGGCGCCCCAATCGGCGCCGTAGAGTCAAAGTTCAGTATGATCAAAGTCTGGGACTTTGATCTGTAAGGGAAGATACATCTGCACAATTTTGAAATTTAACCAAAAAAATAGAAATTAGATTTATAAGTTTTAAATTTACAATTAAGTTAGAAGGGCAGTTTTGTCATTTCGGGGCAACTTGATGGGTTTTGTTAGTTCAGGGGGGTGTTTAATTTTAGTGGGGGCATTTTGAACGAAAAAATTAGTACAGGGGGGTTATGTGATTTTTCCCCTTAGTAATAAATGGACACACCTTCATTTGACTAGTAGATTTAGTAAAAAGATTATCATGACCTTGTTTCCTTCAATTGTGGAAATTAGATTGTCATTGGGATAGTTCCAAAAGTTAACAAAACAAACGAAGGCAAAAGCATCATTTGTGGAACAAAATTTCCTATGGATGATGGTTTGTTGATACAAGAAGGAAGTTTTGTATAAGCATAAGGAAGATTTGCATAGAATCCACCAAGTGGGAAGTATTTGGGTCGATCTGTAAGTTATAAATGTCCTAATGAAACCTGCCAGTGGTATAATGACATTTTGGCCATAGAATATATTGTTAATTGACATTCTGGCTTTAGGTATCGTTTCGCAATGTTCCATAAATGAAGCTTTGCAAAACAGATTTGTTGCTATAGATTCGATATTCCCAATAGGATGTTGTCAGCAAGATTTAACTGTTAGGAACAGAGACCAGTAAATTCTCTTTGGTTGGGTTTGGCTATTGCCTCACATAGAAAGTGACAGATGTGAAATTCACTAATTCCAATAAGTTGGGGAACGTCTGATTAATAGTTAGTAACCTCTTTGAAGGTGAATGTATCTACTTTTTCCTTCTTTTGTTTTTCCCCTGAATGTGGTGTTTTACTAAAAAAATGGAACAATATAGTGCAACCAAAACAGTGGAAGTAAGACTGATCACTAGAAAGCCCGGGCATAACCATGGCTAAAATATAGGAATTGGTTTGAGGAATCTGGGTTTTTGTGTTCCAACTTTATAGGTTTTTGTTCAATAACTTCTCATCGTATTGCCAATTTAACATATAGGGATTGGTGGGTCCATTCGCTGACATGCAAGTTTTGTAGTCAAGGTGGTGTGGGCCCTACAGTCACTGGAAAGTTGGGATCGTTAGTTTAGGATGTATATCCCTCTTATTGTAGGACAAAATCCTATTTATTTGGTCCACAATGGCTACCTGCTAGAAGAGAGCACAAACTTGCATGCCATTTTTTTTTTTTTTTCCCATGAGAAGGCAATAATTTTTCCAGTTTCATGCATTATTCGTTTATGTTTCTCTTGTAGAAAACAAGTGAACTCAGTTGGTCACTAGTATTTTCTGTTGGTTGTAATAACACAAACTTCTGTCCAAGTCTTCTAATGAGTTTAATAGTCTCTGTAAAACAAATTCTGGCTTTCCTAACCAAGAAAGAAAAATAAAAAGAAAGAAGAAGATTAAACAAGCCATCCATTGGTACCCTGTTCCAATATTTTTCTAATTGTGAACCAAACAAAACTATAAACCCCTGTAGTGACTTGCTAATGTGGAATATCAAGGAATCATGTGCAAGTGAAATCCAAGGGATATGGAGGAAAATAAAGGCAAAAATTAATCACTTCCTTCAAGATGAGTTTATATGGTAGTATTGTGGCTACATCCATGGGCAGACCAGCAGGAAAATAAATCTACTATCATTTGGAGGGTAAGAAATTCATGGGAAGGCAGACCTTTCCCAGTAACAAGTTAATCCTTCCAACCTCTCCTTCAAAACTCTAACAATTCCCAATCACTTTGCAATACTGCAGCTTGACTCACTTTCAATGTTGCATTTTGGACCCACATGCAATTGCCTTCAGATTTTTTCATGACTTGCTACTTACAACACCAAGAGAGCAACAGAGGGGTTGGGAGAAGGCCACTCCTTTAAGCACCTTTCCTCCCACCAATTGAAGTCCCAAAGATTGGTATGAGTTCATGGGGTTTACATCAGCTGAATGCGAGTTTTAAGATACCCCAATACCTCATTTGCGGAAGCTTTGATTGGACATTGATATATGTTTCAGCGCTACATTTTTTCCCTTATTTAAGCCAACATGGGTTACCACCTTGTGTCAAACGTCCTCTAAACGTAAGTAGTCTTCTTCCATTCTTAAGAAGGAATAAAAATTGATCAATTACATTCTTGGAGGCTTCATTAAGTGCTTCTAACTTCAATTCGTTCATCTTTGAAGGAAAGTATTTTCTTTTTCCCATGCCTGTAAGAATGAATGCTATTATTTGATTCAGACATGCACGAATACAGCATCTGTTAAATCCCATCTCATAGTTTTATTCATAAAGTTAGTAAACATATTTGTATCCTTGTCACAGAATGTGTCTTAATTTTCAACTTTCTTCATGAGAGCAACATGAAAAACTGAGCAGGTTTTGCTAAATCAAATAATTTTGATACTTGTTCATGTTTTGAAATATAGAGTACATTAATCTACTACTATCCTAGAACATATCCTCATAGATGCATATAATGTTCTTTGTTATAGCATATTGTCTCAATTATTTCAATAACTGGATTTTACTTGCTCTGTTTAGGCCTTTCTCTGAAGACTCAAGAGCTCACAGCTATATTCCTTGCTGTAAGATTATATTGTAGTTTTGTTATGGAAGGTGACATTCATACTGTGCTTGATTTTGCCGCTTTTGTCTCGACTGTGTGGGTTATATACATGATAAGATTCAAGTTAAAGTCGACCTACATAGCAGAGCTTGACAACTTGCCCATATACTATATGGTAAACACTTATTCTTTTTGGTTAGGTTTTATGGTGAATTCTTTGTACACTTCATCTTTGGGTATTGTTGACTAGAACACAGAACATTTCATCAGTATGCAATATATTAGTCTTCATGTGATTTTAATGCATGTCCAATATCCATTTCCTTTCCTTGCTATACATGTGAACTTTCTCCTTTGAATATGATATCCCATTCTCGTTGCTCGATAAATAGTTGTACGTGAGTACATCTTCAGTATTACAATCTGGAATGATCTTTCATGCATGGTACTTTCTTGTTTCTGAATTACTTGTTTTCTTCAGTCTAAACAAATGAAGTAAGGCCAAAAGGCTGCCACCTATCCACACAGTGGGCACTTTATAATGCTGCTATTAATTTGTCCACTCTTGTTAGTCTATGTTTTACTTTTTGCTAACTTTAGATATTGCATTTATGTAAAATGACTCTTAGGATAATGTTCGTTAATATTTTGAGGGAGTCACTTGGTTATTTCGGCTCAGTGAAAACGGTTATGAAGCTGCCACTAACTCTTTGGATATTTATATGAAAACATTAAATTTTTTTATCACTCCAACCGCATTTTCTTCCATCTTTTTTAACAGGTGGTGCCTGCTGCTGTTCTTGCCTTACTAATTCACCCATATACACATCATGCACGTATCAACCGAATCCTTTGGGCATTTTGTGTGTACTTGGAATCTGTTTCGGTGCTGCCGCAGCTTCGTTTGATGCAGAATGCTAAGGTTTATGTCTGGCTGAGTTAATTCTGCTTCCACATCAGTATTTTATGAATTTACTATTGGTAGTATTCATTTCCTCTTCATCAAATGTCATTTCAGATGGTTGAACCATTTACAGCCCATTATGTATTTGCATTGGGTGTTGCAAGATTCTTGGGATGTGCTCACTGGATCATTCAGGTTAGTTTTGGTTATTATGTTCTGCCAGTTATATGTGGAGTTTTAAGCATGCATTTAATTCAACACATCACCATAACCTTAATCAGATAGGGGACAATGTAGAACTCTTTGTTATGGGAAGGATAGCATGGCTTGGCCACAGCATTAGAAAAGGACTTTAGTTGGTTGGTGTTAGCTAGTGTATGACAAATTGACTCAGTGGACCTTCTTATGGCTTGATTTGCAGATTCCAAGTTGGATTCCAAGTTGAGTTTGTTTAATTTTTCAAATTCAGCAAACCATATTTCTTGACCTCCGGAAGTAGGGGTATCCTTGAGTACATGTACCCATAAGCAGTGCAGATTTACCTGAATACTGAAGCATGGGAATATTGATATATTACCGTTCTTAATGAAAGAAATTTTGTGAACAAAGTGGTTCATACAACATAAACATACAAGAATACTTTTAATTATATTTGATTGCACTGGGAACCTGGAAATATGCTCAATTGTTTGACACTTGGAAAGATTAGATCACATAATCTTGTACAAGTCTCAAAACACTGATAAAACATTTCAACACAAAATCCTTAAAATTTTGAGGTAGATAACTCGTGAGGAATAATATCTATCCTGTGCTCTGTCTTTTGGATGATACTATGACTCTCTAGGTTCATGACTTTGTTTATATTGTTCTCTTGTAGACTTGTAGTGCCATCCTGACGTTCCATGGTTTCCTTTTTATTTATTTTATTTTTATTATGTTTTTAGTCCATCATCAATTGGATTGTACTTGATAGGAAGAACCATTCTGCATTCAACCAATACACTAGATATATTTGAAGGGAAATAAAAAAAAATAAAGAATAAATAAATCCTCCAGACATATTTTAAAGTCAAAGACACCAGCATGTCTGAAATGTTCCTAGACATCCCATGAGAATGAAATATCACTTATTATATCATCTCAAAATTAAGAGTTAGATGTACCAGTATTCAGGCTCCTGGGCAAGTAGGCCGAGTAGTCTAACAGGGGGCCCGGGATCCCGATTCACGTCTTATGTGGATCTGCTTTTCTTATATACCCATTCAAATCTGTAGGTTTATGATACTGCTGGTAAGTATCTGTTCTTGCTTGGAAGTGGATACTTTTGGCTACCTATGGTTCTCCTCTCAGAAATTGTTCAAACATTCATCTTGGCTGATTTCTGTTACTATTATATCAAGAGGTGAGTCATTCATTGCCTGTCTTTTTTTTATTAGTTGTTCTCATTTCCTAACTTCCATCATACATTAATTATATATATTTCATAACAATTTGCTCTGATTGTATCATCTGTTTTGCAGTGTCATGAGTGGCCAACTTCTAGTTACCCTGCCTCCTGTCTGAAATTTTGATTTTGAACTTTGGAGGATGTAATGCATTTTGTTTACAGATATGGCTTCTAAATTATAATCCTGTGGCATCATGTAATACTCCTGTTTGCGATGTTCGAAAAATGCAGTTTCCTTTTTTATCTTGTTAATGTTATTGGCTCCATTTACATCATATTTTTTTGTCCGTGACAAGAAACTCACTCACTCATTAGCTCTTGCGGGACTTGAACCCTCACCATCCACTTTGAGAGATAGAGGAGATACCGCTAAACTACATGATTAGGCTTTTGCATTCCCGGTGTTAAGACTGCTCTATAATGATATATTTTGCCATACTATGGTATCCATATTTATGTATTTATTGAATAGTGGATTATGTCATTTTGTTGATATAATATCACAAAGCACATAAATCTTGTCCCACCATGGTGGTCCATTCGCTCTTGTGTTGGTGGTTCAAAAGCAATGTAATATTTAATTAGTTTGTAACACCAGGAATTATTAGATGGTCAAATCACCATTGTATTGTTATTGGAAACCATTATTGGGTTAGAATATTGACTGAGTAGGCCCATTTGCATCCAAATGTAGTTTGCGTAGATGGGCTACAGGTCAAGACAAGCCATACCTTTTTAGGCCCAGTTGGACTTGCAAATGACTCCCACTATAATTTCTTCAATTTTACTTGGGTGTCGCTTGAGGCCCAGTAGTTTTGTATAGAATTAGGGCATGGAAATTGGAATGGAAATAGAGTAGAATCATTGCAAGTGCAGTACTGTTTGAGTGGTTAGATTGCTTTGTGTCCAAGCCAAAAAAATTGTGCAATCTTTATGTAAATTATTTTCAGAGGCTGCATTTAAAACTAAGTTCGGGTCAGATCCTACAAGTACGAAGCAACCAATATTCAAATGAATCCTCAGTCGGGCAAAGAAATCAGATTGGATTGGGTATCGTTTGATCCACTGTATCTTGTTTCATAGTGGTATTATAATCTGTACTGGACTTGGGATGTTTAAAATCTATAATCTGTAGATAAATGTTTTATATACTAACCAATCCCACTTGTTTGTAAAGTATAGATGAAACAATCATACCATGTTGAATATCTACATATGGCCTACGTGACCACCTCCAATCTCCATGCTCACAAAAATGCTATCAAGGAGGCACTCTCACCGTCAACATCTAGGGATGATAATTTCTTTTTAATTCAGAAAAAAAAACTATTAAGGAGGTGTTTATACCATAATTATCAATTATTTTCTAGTGGAAGGTTGCCATGGCCAATTTCAATGGAAGGTACTACGACATTCCAATGAAAATCGTTATCTTCTAAAGACTTTGACTAAAAACCAAACAAAGTTGGACACGTGACTTATTCAAAGGGCCACACCTATAGTTATTTGCACCATAATTATTGGTCACTTTCCAATGAAAAGTTGTTGTGGTCGATTCCAATGGAAGAGTGATATGCAGACGTGGATGCAAGTATAAAGTAACATGTGGATTCATTTGAGAAAACCATTTGGTAAAGTAAAAGCTTTGGGACACGTGGCAATCAAGGAAGCAAGCAGTTACCTACAAGTGAAAAGTCATGGGACACATGGAAGGACAAGAGATAAGTAGTTACCTAAAGTTAGAAGACATGACTTCCAAGTAGGACACATGGCAGAATTTCATGTTAAAGAGCGGTTATTCCAATGGAACGTGCAAGATTCTAGTGGAAGGCAATGCAATAAGTAGCAGAAATGGCAGAACATGGTTGCAAGCTGAGCACAAAACCTGGAAATGTGGGACACGTGAATGGTTTTCCAGTGGAAGAGCGGTTGTTCCCGGCCAATGAAAAGTCGTGCAAAAAATAGCAAAAACATGGAAAAACGTGATCCCACACGTGTAAGCAATATAAGAAGGCGAAGAGTACGTGAGACACTTGGCAAAATGTAACGACCTAAATCCAGGGATCCGGATCGCTAACCGGATCCTTACCCGAACCGAGGTCACACAAGGGTACTATGGTCATTTCATGTCATTATAATGGTTCTAGAGTCCATAAGGGTATAACGGTCATTTACCGTGGTGAAATAATGGTTTAAATCCCAAAAGGGCAAAATAGTCATTTAGCACATTCTTTACCGTGGTGAAATAATGGTTTAAATCCCAAAAAGGCAAAATAGTCATTTAGCACATTCTTTATAGCTTCTAAACTCATAAGGGATAAAACTGTCATTTCATATCAATTTGACACACTAAGGCCCCAACAAGGGTAAAATCGTCATTCTATGCTTTGGATGAAGTCCAGGGGTAATTAGGTAATTATATTGAGGTTTGGGGTCAAAGAACAAATCTTAATTCATCTAACTGGTTACATAAAATCATCTATCTGGTTAGATGATCTAGCCTTGTGAACATGCCTACTGCCAAGACCAACTGATCGGTTACATGAAATCATCTAACCTGTTAGTTGCTTAAATATTCCTTTAGACCAACTAACCAGTTACATGGGATCATCTAACCGGTTAGTTGGCTTACGCCAGAAAAAATGGATTTTAGAATCTCCCCAAAATCATTTCTAACCCTTTCCCAACACAATCTAACATGGTAAATGGCCCGTATATGAAATCATACACATAATTTCATCAAAAAAACATTATACATACATCAAAATGAAGCATTTATACATCATGTGAAGATTAAATCATACACGCTCATTTCATATAATTCCAAAAGAACTCAATTACAAAAATAATGCCACCATGGCCACGAATACATAGCTTTTACAAGATGATTAACATTGATGAATTAAAAACATAAAACAATCTCCTACTCCATGTAATGATCAAGTCATTTTCCTTCCCAATTTATTCCTGTTTTTACGAATTTTCTTTTTCCATTGATGTTTCTTTCTAAGTTCGGGTTTTGTCCCTTTGGGTCGTCTTGAGTGCTCGGGAATAGTTCCTGACACTCTTTCTTTTAAAGATTGGTATCGCCTTTGTGAGGGCCGTGTCATCTTCTCTCCTTTTCCAGCGTTTTTCTTTTTCCGCATAACCTTAGGGTTTGTGAGACCTGAGGTAGGGTTTTAAGTTTGGTTTTGTGTTCGGATTGGATTCCGACATCCACTTCACTTGAATTTAATGAAATACATAGCTTTACTTTTGTAGAAAAGCATACTAGCTTGTCTTAAATTCCGTAAGGGTATGGATGCTTAGTTTCTTTGGAAACATTTTCATTTTATGTGGTATTTTGTGTAATTATGTTTTGCGATTAATTTTTGTCTTAGGGACCATTTTGTAATTTAATTTGTGAGATATTTTGGGAAGGGACCTTTTTGTAATTTTTGAAACGTGTGACAAGTGTCACACTCTCATTGGTCCACTTGTAGGCATCCTAGTGGTGACACTTGGAAACCTTGAATGATGACATGTGGAGGGTGAGGATTCTCCCACTTGGTGGCCTTTGGTTGGTACACTTGTTGCCATTGGATGAGGGTAAGTGTAGAGCTTGGATTAAGCCTTGAGAGGAGGCTTAAGATGGTGACAAGTGTAGGGTTAGGTTGTGATCTTGTGAGGAGGCTTAGTTAGTTGACACGTGGAGGGGTGAGATGTGTTGTGTGTGTATGAGAGGTAGTGATAGCACATATAGTGCTTAATTAGTGGTGGAATACATTATTTTCCACTAACTTTCCTTCTTCCTTTCTCTCTAACCCTAGCCACAACCTGTAAGGTTTCTTGAAACCCTAGCCTCCACATCTCATTTTTGAGCCCTTTCCCTTGAACTTTGGTCTTGCACCTTGAAGATCAAACCTTCGTTTCTTCATTCTCTAGAACAACTTTGCTTAGTTTTCATTTCTACCTTTGGTTGCCTTGGATTTTAGAGATTCTATTCTCTAGTGAGGTAGGGGGTTGTTGTATATTTATGTTCTTAGTGTTTTACTTGTCTATGGAGTTTAATATATATTGTTTACATGCCTATTGAATTGTTGTATTGCATATTAACGGAGATTACATATGCTTGACTTAGTTTACGATTCAAAGCATGTATAGCTTATGTATACTGTGTAGAAATATTGTTTTATTTAGTAGTTTGTTGAATTCTAGAGATTTAGCTTGTTGTTGTGATGAACTTTTGTAGAATGTTGCTTGTAATTACCTTGGAAGCTTGTTGCTAAGTTGTAGTATACTTATTACTTGTGGCTTGTATAATGGTAGCATAAGTTAGTTGATTAATAGTATACTTGTATGTGCAACAAGGCACACATTGAAGACTTGATATTTAGTATGCTTGTATGTGTATCAAGTCGCACATTGAAGACTTGAAATCTAATATATTTGTATGTGTAACGAATCGCACATTAAAGATTTAACATGGTGTATGCCACTGTAGACATGAAACCCTAGGACATGGTTTGTGTGGTTTTAACCCTACTTGTGTGCATGGAAGGTGATTTCTTGCATTGTTATTCGTGAATGAGTTATAAACTTGTTGATTTTAGGAAAGCTGTAAGGACATGTATAATGATACAGCTAGGGCTTGGCTCTAGTACGGGAGGTATGAATTCTCCCCACATCATTAGAGTGCGCACTAGGTAGTACCTTGTGGGTCGTAATTACCCGGAACAACTTGTATGCTCTTGATTAAAACCGAGTTCACATGTCTTAGTTTTTTCGACTACTTCATTTCGCATTCAATTCCAAGTTGTTAATCATGGACTACTTGTAACTTGTGATTTGGTGCGTGAAGTTTCAATTACGTTTAGTATACTTGTGCATTGTATATTTCATTTCGATATTGTTTAGTATATTTGTGCTAGTATATTGTGAATTTTATTTCAATATTGTTTAGTGTATTTGTGCCAAATATACTTGTATATTGTGTATTTCTTTTCAATTGCTTACGTAGCTTAAGATGATCCCTTAGTTCACCTTGCAACATAGACGTTAAGTAGAATGATCCCTTGTATTCGTCTATATTGAACTTGCATGACACTTGAAACTTTAGGGTATACGCATGCACTTCTTCCTATGAGTAACTTGTTTACTCACCCTAATTGTTTGAAATATTTTTCAAGTAAGGAGACCTTATTTTGGGATGCACAACATCCCTAGGTTTACTTGGTTGTTTAGAGTATTTTTGATGTATTTTGTGTACATGA